GTAGGCAATCATTAGAGCTGATGGCATAAATTGCTATTTGTTGACATAAAAAGACACCCATGAAAATGTTAAGTACAAAGTACGTTATGTATCACCGTTTCGAGTTTGTCCTCATTCAAAAAAATGTTTCTGGCCGGGTGTGGTGGCTCATGCCTGTAATCCTAGCACTTTGGGAGGCCGAAGTGGGTGAATTGCCTGAGCTCAGGAGTTCGAGACCAGCCTGGGCAACACGGTGAAACCCTGTCTCTACCAAAATACAAAAAATTAGCCGGGTGTGGTGGCAGGCGCCTGTAATCCCAGCTACTCGGGAGGTTGAGGCAGGAGAATTGCTTGAACCCAGAAGACAGAACTTGCAGTGAGCCTAGATTGCGCCACTGCACTCCAGCCTGGGTGACAGAGTGAGACTCCCTCTCCAAAAAAAAAATAAAATTCTATATACATAGAAAATTATTGAGACATGCAATAAACTGAATGACAGTGATTATCTTCAGATGGTGGGGTTAAGGGTGATTTTATTTTCTGCTGTATATATGAAATACGTAGAGCATACAGTCATGTGTCGCATTCGTGATGGAGGTACACTCTGAGAACGCACTGTGAAGCCACTTCATCACTGTGGGAATATAAGAGACAAACCTGGGTGGAACGGCCTCCTACACACCCGGGCTATATATATGGTACAGCCTATTGCTCCTAGGCTGCAAACCTGTGCAGCAGGTTCCCAAACTGAACACTGTAGCGAACGGTAAGCCAACGCTAAGTGTCTGTGTATGTAAATATACTTAAACATAGAAAAGGCATGGTAAACTACAGTATAAAAGAGAAGAAATGGTACACTTGTACAGGGCACTTGCCATGAATGGAGCATGCAGGACTGGAAGCTGCCTGGCTGAGTGAGCGGTGAGTGAATGTGCAACTTAGGACACTACTGTGCAAGACTGTAGACATTTTAAACACTGCAAGCTTAGGCTACACTACATTTACTGTAGACATTTTAAACACTGTATGCTTAGGCTACACTAAATTTATTTTTCAAAAGTTTTCTTTAACAACAAATTATCCTTAGCTTACTGTAACTTTTACTTTCTCAACTTTTTAATTTTTTTCAAACTTTGACTCTTTGGTAGTAACACTTATCTTAAACACATTGTCTAGCTGTACAAAAATAATTTCTTTCTTTATATCCTTATTCTATAAGCTTTCTCCTATTTTAAAAGCTTTTATTTTTACTTTAAAAAATTTTTTGTTAAAAACTAGTACATAAATATGCACATCAGTCTAGGTCTACAGAAGATCAGCATCATCAGCACCACTGTCTTCCACCTCTACATCCTGTCCCACTGGAAGGGCTTCAGGGGCAATGGCACACATGCAGCTGTCATCTCCTAGTAGAACAAAGCTTTCTTCTGGATACCTCTTGAAGAACCTGCCTGAGGCTGTTACACTTAACTTTTTTAAAACAAGCAAAAGGAAGACACTGTAAAATAACAAGAATAGAATAGTACAATAGATACATAAACCAGCAACAGTCAGATATTATCAAGCATTATGAACTGTACAGTTGCATATGTTGTATACTTTTATAGGACTGGCAGGCTGCACAGTAGGTCTGTTTACACCAGCATCACCACAAAACAGAAGCAAAGCCTTGCATTATAATGTTACAACGGCTACTAAGTCAATAGGAGACAGGAATCTTTCAGCTATGTTTTAAACTTAGGGGACTACTGTCACATTTATGGTCTTTCACTGACCAAAACATCACTATCAACACACGACTACATAAACGTACACATAAGTATGCACATATATATACACATGTATTCATAAATACATATATAATCTACAAATGTATATATATAAAGGTATTACTCTCTAAAGTTTAGACAATGACCCTGCAATATTTTTATGGTGAGAAAGAGCATCAAACTATTTACATATTGCAGAAGAGTACAAGAAATGATCTTTGTTCTCAAAAAATGTATGATCTGACTGGCAGACTAGAAAATGCATGAAATAATGTGAACAATGAAAAACAACTGTGTAGCTGGATAGGGCCCTGAGACAAGAACACAAGGTCCAGGGCAGCCAAGATCCCAGGTCATGTGCTTTGCTAGAGGTAGTAGCAGGATCATAACTCCAGTTTTCTAATTGTGAACTCTGTACTCTCTCTCTGGTCTTAAAATTCCCTTCGCTGATTTTTACACACAAGTCTACACATTACTGACACATGGGCAGCAAGAATGGACAGGAAGGATGCCACAGAGACTCACTCAAACACAGGGATGGAGAAGGTTCTGGTCAGGAGAGCAGCTTGCCTCTGTGGGAACAGAATAGGAATATCTTGCAGGACAAAGAGCATCTCAAATGCACAACAGCCTGTTCTGGCCACACCCTCAGATCACACTCCACTGTGCTGGCTAGTCTAAAAGATAATGCTGCCAGGCATGGTGGCTCACACCTTTAATCCCAGCACTCTGGGAGGCGGAGGCTGGTGGATCACGAGGTGAGGAGATTGAGGCCATCCTGGTCAACATGGCGAAATCCCGTCTCTA